AAAAAAAAAAAAAAATCTTGGCATGAGAAAGGTGTGTGCAAAAATGGTCCCGAAGGAGATCACCGATGAACAAAAGCAAAGGAGAGTCTAAGTTTGCCAAGACCTTTTGGAGAGGCAAGATGCTGTTTTGGGCCATATTATCACTGGTGATGAAACATGAGTTTACCAATATGACCCTGAAACAAAACGTCAAAGTGCACAATGGAAGTCAGGCAATTCTCCATGACCAAAAAAGTTCCATCAGTCCAAATCAAGAGTCAAAACGATGTTGCTAAACTTTTTTGATATCAGAGGGATTATTCATTATTAACTTGTACCAACTGGACAAACAGTTAACCAAGCTTACTATTGGAAGTGCTGAAAAGGCTGCATGGAAAAGTTAGATGACCTGAACTTTTTGCCAACAATTCATGGCTCTTGTATCACAACAATGCACCAGCTCACACGGCACTGTCTGTGAGGGAGTCTGTAGCCAGGAAACAAATGACTGTATTGGAACACCCTCCCTATTCACTTGATCTGGCCCCCAACGACTTCTTTACCCAAAGATAAAGGAAATATTGAAAGGAAGACATTTTGATGACATTCATTACATCAAGGGTAATATGATGACAGCTCTGATGGCCGTTCCAGAAAAAGAGTTCCAAAATTGCTTTGAAGGGTGGAGTAAGTGCTGGCATCAGTGCATAGCTTCCCAAGGGGAGTACTTCGAAGGTGACTATAGTGATATTCAGCAATGAGGTATATAGCACTTTTTCTAGGATGAGTTCGCAAACTTAACTGTCAGACTTCGCATGCACATATATACATATTCGTATATGTATAACTTTTACAGAGCTAGAGTACTGTGGGGCCTTACACTACCTCTGCCTCAAAGATCTTGCAATTCCTCTTGGCTTTTGGCTAGGATTAATAACTCAGTTCTAGTTTACTCACCTTACTCTAGTTTACTCAGTCGAATCAAACCATAATAATCAAATTCTCTGGTGTTACACTGAAAGAAATTTATACTTAAGGAATATTTATCTGACAGTTATTGATAAGATGGATTACTGGTAGAAGAGACTGGCCAGAAGAGAATGCCCAGCTAAGAGTTTTGTAATTTCCAATGTGAGGTGGGGAGTAGAGAAACTAAAATTAATTGAACTCTTAAGCAATGGACTAGGCACTTCACAGTTTATCTTATCGAATACTCATGACAACTTCATGAAGTGGGTGTAAATGTTATGTCACAAGGAATCTCAAATCAGAGATATATAAACAAAGAATTTTTTTTTTAGCTGAGCCATCCTGCCACCTGTTGGCAGCTCAGCAGCAGCTCAGCTTGGGCCGTGAATTGAACCGGTGATCCTGTTGCTCAGAGCTTACACTCTTGAGTGAGCTCTTAACCAACTGAGCCACTCAGCCGGCTTAGCAAAGAATTTTATATCTTAAAAGTTGATAGCAACTTTTCTTTGAGTCCCCAACCCACATGGATTGGGGATTGAGTATGGGAAAGAACTTGAAATTGCCAAATAAAGATGTCTTAATCCCTTCTGATAATTTTTGTGTTCCTTAGATATTTGTCATTTCTAGTTTAAAATTTATACTGTCCAAAGGTAAAAATCTTCCACCCTTAATTTCAGCTACCATTACCCAGCTATTGAAACAGGTTGCTTTCTCTCTCCCTCTTATAATCTCTAGTCTTCTTGCTTTTCACTCACAGAGGAAGGAACTGGAGGGAGGGCTGGTGGTGTATTTCTAGTTACATGAGTGATGATATGTTGATTTCCTGATGCTGGCTTTGTTGGGGAGGCACATTAATTTCCCTCCAGGTGCTTCTGGTGCCTGGGAAAATGGGCCCCCTGTGTACTTTTGAATATTGTGGGTCTTAAAATTCTTCCCTTTAATCCCAGAGGTGGTCTCTGTGTGTTTCATTAACACCTCTGTCCTTCATGGTCTCTTGGGTAATTAGCTGATTTCCTGCAACATATATAATATCTTCATGTGCCTGATCTAAGCCCACAGAAAACCTAGGAATCCCACACCATTAGCCTTACTCCACAGGAAAGTAGTCTTTACCCGGAAACGCTTTCTCTCATCTTGACAATCTCTCTTCTGTTCCTTCTCCATCCCAGGAGCATCAGGTCAGCCTGATGAACCTCCTGACTCTATAGATCATCAAGCTTCAGTTCAGAAACTTCTAGGTGAGTACTTTTCACTTGCAAACCCGTCAGACAGTGAGGCTATATATAAGGCTTCTTCAGGCAAGAACACTTTAAATGAGCCCGCTTCAGTTGGAGGTGCTTCAGGTGAGCATGGTTCCAGTGGAGACGCTTCAGGCGATCCCAATTTGGGTGAGCATGCTGCTGCGAGTGAGCATGCTGAAGGTGAACATGCTTCAGGTGAGCACACTGCAGGTGAGCACACTTCCGGTGAACAACCTTCAGGTGAACAGCCTTCAGGTGAAAAGCCTTCAGGTGAACAGCCATCCATTGAACAGCCTTCAGGTGAACAGCCTTCCAGTGAACAGCCTTCCAGTGAACAGCCTTCCGGTGAACAGCCTTCAGGTGAACAGCCTGCAGGTGAACAGGTCTCAGGTGAAAAGCCACTGGTTGAACAGCCTTCCAGTGAACAGCCTGCAGGTGAACAGGTCTCAGGTGAAAAGCCATCGGTTGAACAGCCTTCAGGTGAACAGGTCTCAGGTGGAAAGCCATTGGTTGAACAGCCTTCAGGTGAACAGCCTTCAGGTGAACAGGTCTCAGGTGAAAAGCCATTGGTTGAACAGCCTTCAGGCAGTCCACCTTCAAGCACAGGTGAGCCACCTTTGGATGGGTGCCAGTCCTTAATTTCCGGTGGGAAGTAGCAACACATCAAAACACCCAATTTTAAGGAAAAAGTGTAGAAGAAAGAATAGTTCACAAACAAACAGCTCTCCCCACAACTCTCTTTACAATAATACCAGGAGGCAGGAGCAAGGTTTTGTGGGGCCCTGAAGGCTAAACAATTTGGAAGGCCCTCTTTAAGAAAAATAACACAAATACAAAATACCAGGTGTCCCTCCAGCTTTATTCTACGTGTGGAATTATGGATACAAATGCCCACAGCTCCCCCAGGAAAGAGGCTCCTGGAAGACTAACCTTCATGAGCTTCATGCTAAATCTGTTACTTAAACTATGTTAGAATGCTTTGCAAACTCTGTAAAGACATACCTAGCTCTGGAGCTGGTGGCTCTTTGTTGTTTGTTTGAACATAGAAAGTAAAACATGAAGACACTTTATTAGATCCAGAGTTAAGTTCCCAGGACAACTGTAATTATTTGGCTCTTCCTAAAAAGGGGTTGTTTGAGGAAGGAAAACAAGATACACGGTTTGATGCCTCAAGTTCCTATCAGACATAAATACTTCATATTTCACCCCATTGCATAAGTAGCAGTCTTTCAAATTTTCAGATGAGAGAAGTGAGGCTAACATCACATGGCTAGAAAGTAGCAAACCTTGGATTCAAACTTAGGTCTGACTCCAAAGCCACTTCTTCATTTATATATAATTGGGATTCATCAGCAGTGAAGATCATAAATGAAGCAGTGGCTTTCCACTTCTTATGCTTCCTTAACTAGGGGATTGGCAGTGGAGATCGTAAAAGAGGCAATATGGAAGCATTTCAAAAAGAATGCCCTTTTGTGAAAGGCCCTTTGTGACCTTATTGAAGGTCAATTTGAAAATTGAGAATGATACAGACGCTTTATGGGGTTTGCAACATTAGCGCATTTTAACAAAGCTTATTAATGTGTCAAATTTTATTCTAAGCGTTGGTGCTTGTGGGTGAGAATATGGCGAGGAGTACAAAAGGGAGCCAGTCACATAATAAGTTCTTTGCTCCTATTGAGTTACACATGGCAGAAGGGCATCTCATTATAAATGTCCAGGATGTCCATGGGGATATGAATTGGAGTAAAAGTCAGTATTAGAGAGATAGAGTTGGGATTCATCAGCAGTGAAGATCATAGATGAAGCAGTAAGAATGAAGGAATTTCCTCTGGTCCAGGAGAAAGAACTTGCTCTATCAGACACAGGGCACTTAGATCCCCAACAAGAACCAATACATTAAATGTGTTAAACCTAGGCTACTTGTGGCCCATCATCCCTCCCCAGATGTGTGACTCAAGACTACACACGACCCACAAGGGAATTTCATCAGCCTTTATTAAATTTTCAGACCCGGCATTAAATTGCCACACATGCTCTTATTTGAACGATCAAGGGAAATGTCTCCGTGGAGAGGGAGTCTGTGCCACTCAGAAGTCCCAGCAGTGCATGTTAAAAAAGATCTTTGAAGGTATGTGGGGACTTCATGAGGCAATCTTTGCCAGAGAATACATCGACCGAGTACTGATGGGGAGGTGTGGTGGGGGGCAGGGGCCTGAGCAGGAATCAAGCTGCGGTTCCCAGGAACTTGGCGATTCAGGAGAACTTACCTTTATCCTTCCAAGAATGAAGAGTAGAATTCCAGCTATTGATGGAGAGGTAGAGCCCCTTCCCAGCAGGCCTACGAGGTCTTAAAAGGAAGAAGGGAGACTGGCTGTCTCTTCTTATTGAGAAACATGAATTGCCCCTTGAGCCATTGAGACATGACTGTAAGCTCTGGACTGTGTCTCGCTTATTCATGGCTATATATTCCTAGCACTTAGCACCAGGTCCAGTACATGGCAGGGAGGCATTTAAATACTGAATACATGAATAAACAGCTGTCTATCAGTCTGTGTTCACAGGTTTCCAGACCTGAGTATATTCCCATACCTCTCTACCGTTCCACTCACTCCTCATCCCCCAAATAATGAACCATGCTGCCTGAATTCCCTTGTGGTTTATCTGGTCCCTCATTAGAGGGAGTGGGCAACTGATGGGGGGAAATGCCCAGACGAGGCAGATGGAAAGGGATGGGAAGGAAGAATATATAAACTGGAGGTCTTAGCCGTGCCTGCATGGGGATGCTGGGGACCATGAGATGAGGCTTAGGATGGAGGATGACGCCTGCTGCTCACTCCAGTCTGTCCTTGCTTCTTTCAGGTGGAAAACTCCAATTCATGGTTCAGGGGTGTGAGAATATGTGCCCATCTATGAGCCTCTTCTCCCATGGAACCAGGATGCAAATTATATGCTGTCGGAATCAATCTTTCTGCAACAAGATCTAGAAGCCTTGCTACCAGTTCTGACCAAGGCAGCAAAAATCCTCCATCAACCTACTGGGCTTAATTTATATTTAGTTTCTTTTCCAGTCAACAACTAGTCAATCGCATGTCCTCTGCCTGAGTGTCAGACAAGTTGCTCACATATCTTCCCTCTCCCATCCACGCAATGGCCCATACTTCTCTGTCCTCTGTCTTCCCTGTTCCCAAAACACATCTCCCAACACTCTCTTCTTTTTAAATAAATGCCACATGGTTAAAGAATCTAGACTCCGGACACACTTCTTTTTCTGTCAGCCAGTTGCAGGATCAGCCTGAGATACTCACTCCACACATTAAAGTGGGTGCATTTTTAAACCATTCTATATTCATCAAAGTGAGGGGGTCCTCAGGGCAAAGACCACAAGAAGGAATACAAAGTAGGCAGTAGCCTTTCATTAGCTTAAACAATATTGAGGGTCCTTCTCTCTGACTCCCCACCTTTCCATCCCTGTAGAAATCCTATCCCCTTGTACTTACCATGGTGTCCAAAACCCACCCTTTCTTTGGCTCTTGAGAGTTTTTAATTTACTCTTAACATAATTATAAAAATAAAATGGCTCCATTTTTTTTTTTAAGATTTTATTGGGGAATTGGGGGAGGGGAACAGCGTTGGGGAATTCAGGGAAGGGGAACAGACAAGTTGCTGTCCTTTTGTTCTTCAGTCTGGTTGTGGAGGACATTGCTTCATCAGCCCATGTTGGTATTATGATCATTGCACTCTTCCCGGCTGAGGCAGATCAGTCGCCGGCCATTGGACGGCCGCTCACAGCCACTCACGGTAGCTCACGGCAGCTCACTGCAGCAGGGACTGCAGCCTACGCCGTTGCTGGCCACTCAGCAGCACAGCTCCAGATAGAGCTGTTGTTCACAATCTTAGCTGTAGAAGGTGCAGTGTCACTGGCCCATGTGGGAACCAAACCAGCGGCCATGCTGCTCAGAGCTCATGCTCCCAAGCCAACTCTTAACCAACTGAGCCACTCAGCCGGCCCCTAAAATGGCTCCTTTTAAAAATTTATTTGCTGTATAAATATATAGAGGTCATAATGCTTAAATTTTTTTCACATACACAATGTTATTGGATCACCTCAGCACAGAAGGGCAGGTGGAAGTACTATAACAGTCCCTCTCATTTTGCACTAGTGGTCTATTCTTCAGAGTGTTTTCACCTCCATCGCTGGCTTTGAAGTTAGAGAAAGGGGACTATCAGCCAAGAGATGTGGGCAACCCATAGGAGCTGGGAAAGGCAAGGAAATGCCTCCAGAAAGGACCAAGGCCAGCCAATACTTTGATCTCAACCCACTGAGACATGTCAGTCTTCTGACTTACAGAAGTGTAAGATAATAATTTTGTGTTGTTTTAAGCCACTCAGTTTGTGGTAATATGTTACAGCAGCAATGAACAAGAAATGCAAACAACTAGACAGAAAATTAGCAAAGATACAGAACTCAAACACTGTAAACCAAAAGATCTAATTGACATTTATACAATACCCTACCTAACAACAGTTTATACATTCTTTTCAAGTGCCCATAGAAAATATAAGATAGACCATATCATGGGCCATAAGCATACTTAACAATAAAGAAATTGAAAAGGGATCTTGAGAAAGGAATTTTATGTATAACGCTAGAACCCAACAAGGACTACTAACTATGTTCAGCTTCAGATGGAAGCTAAAGTGGCTATGAAAAATATGGCCCTTGATAACTGCTGCTGAGGAACAGAAGATTTACTTATGAAACACTTACTGTCCTCCTGGCCTCTGGAAATTTTTTTATGGTAATTGTAATTTACACCATTGTGTTCTTACAGCCTTGGCCCCGACTAAATCTTAGAGTTACAGTTCCTAATTGCACAACTAGCAGGAATGAGATTAATAATGAATGATACTTGAGTGCTTCCAATGGGAAGTAGATGGGCCGCATTAAAATAATAATAATAATAATAATAATAATAATAATAATAATAATAATAATAATTAGTAGTAGCAACAACAACAAAAAACAATACCAGTAAATGGAAACCCTTCTCATGGTCATTTTGTGAAAACCAAAGAGGTGCATGGTTGTGTCCTCAATCAGTAAGTAAATGTTATGCTAGTTGCAAAATACAGAAAAGTAAGACAGAAACCAAAACTTGAACCATGATAGTTTGCAGGTTAGAAATGATTCAGAGTATTTATTCTCTTAATGAAGGCCTATAAGTTGACTGCCTCCCATTTACCTGTCTTTCCCTTTTGAGAAAAATTTGGCCTTGACTTTCATCTAGTGTTACGGTCTTGCCCCATCCCCAGTGGTCCACCATTTCAGCAAGACAAACAACACTAAGACTTTCTGGAAATGAGCCTCACTAGCACCATGGGACCACATTATCCAACCAAGAGGTTGGTCATTAGTGCATCTTTCTGATTGATTTATGACCAAAAGGATAATTGTGGATGAAAAAGGGGCCACATACTAAACCTGACAAGCTCAGGGAAGGACTGTATGATGGGCCTTACAAACTCAGAGACTGAAAGTTACCACATAGGATGGTCTGAACATAAAAATTCCTGACTAAAAAGGGGTCATGGCGGGGAGTCACGTATTAGGCCTGTAGCTTCCTTGACCTAGGCCAGTCTTTAAGTAACGTGCCTACTGTTTTTTTTCATCTAAGATAACAGACCTCTGAAATGTCAAAGCAATCTCCTTTTCCAGGCCCCTCAGGGCACAACCATGGCACTAGAGCACGAGAGCACAGAACCCCTCATTATCTTGTTCCCCACATACCATCTCTATGTGCTATAAATGTTAATTATTAACTGTTCTGTACCCACCAATGTAAAAGAAGTATGAGTCTCTCTGTTTTACTTCTTATCCATTTCCAGAGATTTCCTGCTTTCCTTTCTCCTGCCCCTTAATCTACCACCAATGATTTCAAGTAACCCTCCTTATATCTCCTCCTCTTATTCTCATGTATAAAATAAGCTGCAAAGCTGCCATTCTCCAGAGCATTTTCTCTCAATGGAATTGAAAATTTCTCAATTTTCTCAACTGAGATTTTGCTTCCTGGCAATTGTCATCAATTTGGCTCAAATAAACTCATAAAAATCCTAAATAAATAAATAAATAAATATCATATAGATTGTGTTCACCAAACACAATGGAATCAAACTAGAAATCAGTAACAGAAAGATAACAGGAAAATATCCCAATACATGGAAATTAAAGAACATATTTCTAAATAATCCATAGGTCAAAGAAGTATCAAGGGAAATAAAAAATACATTGAACTGAATAAGGAAAATACAACATATCAAAATTTGTGGAAAACAGCTAATACAGTGCCGAGAGGGAAATTTATAGCAGTAAATGCAAATTTTCGAAAATGTGAGTTTTTAAAAAAGGTTCAAATCATTTAAGTTCCATCCTCAAGAACCTAGAAAATGTAATGCAAAATAAACCCAAAGTAAGCAGAAGAAAGTAAGTAATAAAGATAAAAGCAGAATTGGTAACTACAACATTGCCACAGGATATGAAAAAACAGTTTGGAGAATATAATCAATAGTGCTGCAAATATTTTGTAGGGTGTCAGATGGACACATGTCTTGTTAGGGAGATCACTTCATGGATGGTGTAGATGCTTAACGACTGCAGTGTACACCTGAAGCTGAAGCTGAATAACATTGTATGTCAACTATAATTTAACTATATATTTAACTTTATTAAATATATATATGTCACGGGATATGGAGTATAGTATAGGGAATAGAGCCAATGGAATTTTAATAGATATATACAATGTCAGAGGGACAACAGATTGGGGGAGGGGGGTTATCATTTTGTGAGGGGTGAGATGTATAACTATTACATTGTTTTGTACACTTGAAACTAATAAAAATGAAAAGAGATGATTAAAAAAGATAAAAGCAGAAATCAAAACTGAAAACAAAAAAATAGAGAAAAATCAATAAAACGAAGAACTGGCTCTTTGAAAAGGTCATGAAAACGGACAAACCTCTAGCAAGACTGACAAAGAACGAAGATACAAACTACCCATATCTAAATGAAATGGAATGTCATTAGAGACCATGAAAATATCAAAAAGATGCTAAGGGAATAAAACAAAAAACTCTACACACATAAATTGGACAACTTAGTTAAATGAACCAATTCCTTGAAAAATCAAACTACCACAACTTGCTCATTATGACATGGATAATTTAAATAGCTTTATAACTATTAAGGATATTGACTTTATAATCTAAAAATTCCCCAAAAATAAATCTCCAGGTCATGATGATTTCACTGGAAAAGTGTACCAAATGTTTATAGAAAAATTAACACCAATTCTACAGAATCTCTTCCAGAAAAGAGAAGCAGAGGGAATGCTTCTCATTTTAAGAACCTAATGTTACTCTGATACCAAAACCAGACAAAGACAGTACAAAAAGCAAAAGAAAGAAAAGAAACTACATACCACTATCTCTTGTGAAAATGGACCTAAAAAATCCTGAAAAAATATTATCAAATAGAATTCAGTAATATGTAAAAACAATCATACATTATGATCATGAGGTTTATTCTGTGGGTGCAAACTTGGCTCAATATTTTAAAATCAATGTAATCCATCATATTAGCAGGATAAAAAAAATATCACACTAGTTTGTACCAAAAAAAAACCATTTAGCAAAATTCAACAATTATTCATGTTAAACTCAGAAAAAAAGAAAGAGGAGACTTTACTTAACTTCAAAAAAAAAAACCCTACAGATAACATTACTCTTAATGAAAAGAGACTGGATGATTTCCCTTTAAGATTGGGAACACCTTATTCAATGTAGTGCTGGACATTCCAGTCAGTGCAGTAAGGGAAGAAAAAGAAGAGGCATAAAGATCAGAAAGGAAGAAATACTATAAAACGTCACTATTTGCAGATGACATGATGCTCCATGTAGAAAATTTGAAATCTACAAAAACACTCAAAAGTAATTAGTGAGTTCAGCAAGGTCATAGAATATATCAACATACAAAAATCTATTGTACTTCTACACTAGCAATGAACACTTAAACATCAAAACTAAAAATGGAGTATCATTTCCAATGGCTAAAAAAAGAAATACCTGGGATGTCAAAAAATGTATACAAGAGGACACTTTGGGGCTGGCTGAGTGGCTCAGTTGGTTAAGAGCTCGCTCAAGAGTTTGAGCTCTGAGCAACAGCGGTTCAAGTCCCCGGCCCGAGCTGAGCAGCTGCTGAGCTGCCAACAGGTAGCAGGATGGCTCAGCTAAAAAAAAACAAAAAAACCCAAGAGGACACTTTGGTCAACGTTGCTCAAGCAGTAGTTTGCTATAATCAGAAGTGTCTGGATGCTGATGTTAACAACTTTGATCACCTCTTGTAATTGCAGAAGTCAAATGTGACTTGATTCAGCTTTTGTGATCGGTATATATTGAGTATTACAATTTTAATAGTTTATTTTCCTTAAAATGTGTATACATTTTTTTGGCACCCACTGTATTCAGATATAAATTTAACAAAATATGCATAGGCCGTGTAAGCTGAAAACTACAAAATACTGGGCCGGCCAAGTGGCGCGATGGTTAAGAACTGGCTTGGGACTCCAGAGGGCCCCGATTCGGATCCCACATATGAGGGCCAGTGACACTGCCCTCTACAGCTAAGATACTGAACAACAGCTCAACCTGGAGCTGGGCTGCCGTGAGTCG